TTATTTGATACTATTACAATTACATACATCTATATGTAGATAAACGTGTTCGTGAGAGTCATAAGACATGAGCATTTGAGCAATGGTTTATGAGCAGTTATAAGTGGTTTTGTGCAAGAGCTTATCTGTGTATTAGATGGTAATTAACGTGCTTCTTCTTTGCAAATATAATTCTCCCATTTTTTTCATAAACAAGCTCATCAAGTAACAGTACAACTGAGAGCGTGTACTGTTATACACATATTAAAGTATAATATAAAGAAAATTTTATATCGGTCAATGCAATTACACAGTTGATTTCTATTTTGGTTTACAGCTACTGTCAACAAAATCAAAAAGATGCTGAAAAACGAGGTCTTTTTTGTCTCTGCATAAATTAACATCGGCTCTACCCAAGTTGCGTTTAACAGATTTTCAAAGTACATCTCATGATGTTGAGAATGTCTTAGGTACCTTAAGAAATTTGAAGGTTTCTGATATACCAGGCCGCACATGCTCTCAATTGATAACACTCTGTGCACGATCAGCAAAAAGAAACCATCGATCTTGCTCAGTCCACATTTTCAAACAGTTTTCATAATCTGCCCGTGGTTTAGTTGACTTCCATCGTTGCCAATGAGGTGCCAGGCGGGAAACGGATTTTCAATATAAATATTAGAACCCAACAAATAATTTTAAACATAGTCATAAACAATTTCGTTTTATGAAATTTATTCAAAGAGTGACGTTTCGTCTTTACTCAAGACATCTTCAGACTAATTAGGAAGTTAACAAGAATATAGATATATATAGAGCTATTTACATAGTTTGAGGTATCAGGTTACTGTGAATGTGTAAGTGTGATGTGATTGTGTGATGTAAGTTTGATGTAAGTGTGAATGTATTGTGTAAGTGTGATGTGATTGTGTGATTTAAGTTTGATGTAAGTGTGAATGATTGTGTGATGTAAGTTTGATGTAAGTGTGAATGTATTGTGTGATGTAAGTTTGATGTAAGTGTGAATGTATTGTGTGATGTAAGTTTGATGTAAGTGTGAATGTATTGTGTGATGTAAGTTTGATGTAAGTGTGATATATTGTTAGGGTGAGGTGTTGAGACTAGAAAAGTTTAAGAGGGATGGAGCTGCCTTGGGTGTTAAGTGAAGGTTTTAGTTTGGAGATGAGGAGGCTTTCGTGGATCATGAGGTCGAATGTGTCGGAGCAGGATGAGATGATTTTAAAATCGTCTGGCGAAGCAGGGTGGTTGGAGGAGTTACTATGAGAAAGAATTGTTGACATTAATGGGTTAGTATAGCGTTTTTCAGTCAAAGAAGAGATCCCCAAGTGTTCCGAGATTCTGGTGTGTAAGTGGCGTGTGGTTTGACCCACATACGACGCGGAACAGCATCTACACGTGTATAAATAAACAACACCAGATTTCAGAGACTTGGGAATTTCATCCTTAATGGGAAAAAATGAAGAGATTCGTGTGGGGGTACGAAAGACGAATCTGACATTGACATGAAGGAAAGCAGCGTTGTAGAGACGATTGATTTGTGTGCGGATTTGTAACGAGTGACAGCCGGTGAATGGGAGACAGAAATACACTATTTTCTTTGGGACACTAAGGACAGATGGTTTCTGTTCGAATTTTGTGTCAAGGAAACGACGGACAATGTGGTCGAACATATTAGTTGGATAGCAATTGAGTTTGAGTAGTTTTCTGGTGGTTTTAATTTGGGCATGAAAAGTCTCATAACTAGAGCAGAGTTTGAAAAGCGGTGTAATAGGTCAGAGATTAAGTTGCGTTAGTAAGAAAGTTTACCACCATATTATCTTCCGCGATGTTTAATCAGTCAGTATTCTTGTTGTCTCTTCTTTCGGTGTTACTCGAGTCTTTGAACAGAAGTTATAGCAGTTGTTTTTTCAAACATGAAAGGTTTTGCCACCTGTAACAGCCCCCTTACATTTGAGTGTGAAAAATTTCTCTAGTGAAACATTGGGGGAAATTTACTGATGTAATTTAATAATTATTAGTTTGGTTTAAATAAAGAGAAAGACATATGGCTCCTATGAAAGAAGAATGAGAAGATTTGTCATTCAAGGAAAATGTGGTTTTTCTTTTTTCAGATTTATTTTAGTGAGCACCGACAAAAGTGTTTGTGTAGCGTCTTTCCCGGTGGTGTACAATCACTTAATAATAAAGCAAACGAAGGTATGAGGTTGAAAACGTCTTTGACTCAAAGCAAAAGTTGTTAGTCTTGCATTTAATTCAGAGCTGCTTGCATGTTGACGATTGCAGGCATACTTTCCACCATAATGCAGATAAACTCAATGTCTTTGTATGATTAACTACGTATGTCGTTGTACGTCTTGTAAATTGACGGACAAAAGTTTGCATGTGGGTCTTTCACCAATTACTCAATTACATCAGTAATTTTAAGTAAATGGTTTGAACTCGAGAGTATCGTAACATGTTCGTTGATGAAGATCGTCCAGGTTAATAGTGTCCTAAGAAGGACTGTTGGTATTGATGTAGACTGACGTTTCGACAACCTTAGCGGTAGTCATCTTCAGAGATTGCAGGCCAAAAGACTTGTCTCCTTTCTATAGATTTAACAAGAACTCGTCGTAAATTGCTTTTAACATCATTCTATAAGTCAGTCGTTGGTTCGCTGTTTCCCACTCCACAGACTGTCAAACCTTTGCCCGAATATATTGACCTGGATTTTACCCATAATGCCATAGAAACAAACTATTGTGCTGATGACCACAAAGCCTATGCAATCAGAATTGATACCTATCAACTTTTCGCCTTGTTCTCCAAGAATGTACCGAACTATGCACTAAGGTGAGCTTTGGAGGGCTTAATATAATGTTAGAAAATAAGAAGTATATTACCAGCACATGAACTTACTAGGCCATTCTTCCCATCTCAAGCAAATTCAAGTCACAATTTCATGTATATTTTTACTTTTAGAATGTTAACTGAGGAGACATTGAACGTGCTAACAAATGATCGCTTGGTATGAATATATCGCAGGCTGATTGATGCTTAAATGGTTGCCCGTTGATAGTACTCGAAAGCCATTATTTTGTTTCAAGTCTGCCGGAAAAAGAAAACCGGCCCATGTTTAGCAGTTACGCATATTTTTGCTGAAGAAGACTTTGGAGTGGATTGTGGTATCTTTCAACATATTTCCAAAAAAAAACGCACGCCTTGCACTGGATATTTTTTGCCATCATGCAGAAAATGTAGAGAGAAAATTATTAACCCAATAAATGTACATATAAATAACAATTGTGTAAAAAGAGTAGTTTGTGTCCATTTTGCTGGATGGGTATTTATTCTATTTTTTATAATCAGTCGTTTGAACCATGGAGAGTTTATTCTGGATCATGTGACAAAAGTGGCTTTTCTCGGGAATTTTGTTCGTTTTTAGTTGCAAAACTGGTCTGACTGATAATACCTTTATATTTTGGCATTTTCACAACGTTGGCGTCATTTTTGTTAAAATTCATCATTAAATCTTCATAAAACACTGACAACGACCCATGGTTTTTTAATCTCTTTGTTTCCAAAGTTTAGGTCAGGAAAATACAAATGATACAATGTATCTTGCTACTGACCAAAACTGTGGTCATCTTATGACAGCTGTTCGAACCTGCTCTTTACATGAATGATTTGGCGGAATTTTTACGTTCATGTTGATGATATAGTTGAGATTTAAGAATGTTATAATTTTGATCTGGTCTTAGTTAACAGTTAGGGATGTTTTAATAAAGACGTGACTTAGACAATACTCAGTTCTTTAAATTCACTGTTTCTCCGTGGCATTCGAAATTATGTGGGAAGAAGAGCATTGTATCCATTGTCATTTGGAAGACCAGCTTCAGAGTGAAAGCGTGGAAAGCAGAATCGTATATGTAAATTAACAATTACTCACTTCTTGCCGGTTAACCACGTACTTTAATCGCATTTCTATGAATGTTTATACAAAACTCAACACTAACTACCCTGTAATTACTAAATAGAATTAATTGCATCAATGTCAATTAAATTATATCATGCCTGCAAATGTTATTCTTAATCCTGTGAGCTAGCAATCCAAAATTATCATTGTAGACTAACACACTGCAGTCTTAACAACAGGCTTTTCGCTTTTTTATAAGAATCATATGGCTTCATAAATGGCAAGTTTAATGACAAAAATATTACCATTGTTGTACAAGACTGACTGACGGTTTGTTGAACAGATTAATCTCTTATCTTAATCCAAACCCAATTTCCAAATTCAATCCATTTGACTATTTCGGCTTTCACTTTTGTTATGGTGAAGCGAATGTGCTGTGTCTTGTTGCTATGAATGTTAAACCTTAATTTAGTGGAAAAAACGTCGGTGAAAGAAGATAAAATTTTCTCGATGTCCCAAACTCGTTTTCATCTTAAGCTGGATGATTCTGCTTGTTCATCTATTGATCAATATCTTGAATATCGAAGATAATGATTCGTGACATTCATAGTTCTACTTCTTCGTTCACATCGTGTGTTTAGCTATCTTGTATATTCAATGCCTACAAAAGTATAAAACTGTCTGTTTTGAGGTATATGACATTGTCTAGCTGCTTTAGAAAGACTATCCTATCTTGTTTGTATAATATCAAATTTTGCTTGTCATCCCTGTGTCAAGTGCACCAGAATCAGCTTCAATTGCCAAGTCACTTAGCACTTGGACTGTAAAAATAGCTATAAATATAAGGGTGCTCGTTTGCATTAACGCATATAAGATGTAATAACTCTGATAGTTATAGGTCTACATTTATTTTCGAATCTTCCAGCTTACACGTTTGTGCTCTACATGTTCTAATAATAATTAAGTTATGCCTAAGTGAATGTCAATCATATATAACATAACGGAAGCTTATACCGCTAATTATGTGCATATATTACATCCCTCTTTTCTTAAATTGAAAAGAGTTTAAGTTTAAGTGTTCAGGTGCTATAGATAACAAGTTTATATTTCAAGTCTTGTAAATTGGATTTGGGTTGATTCGTCTACCATAACGACTTGTTTTCACTTGGTGATTTGTATCCGTTTGTGTTGGTTTTGAGACGTTGTCTTTTTCTGTACTGGCTTCTTGTTGTTGCGGAGTCAGAACTTGAGCACCGTCAATATCCGTGGTGTTGTAATCAGATATTTCTTCATTTGTCTTTCTTAGATGTCTGCGATTCCGTCTGTATTCTGTCCCGTTGTCCCCTTTTACTATGTAGCTTCTGGGTGCTTCATGTTTTCGTGTTACCGTTCCGCGAGTCCATGGTGCTGCAGGATCTTTACGAAATCGAACAATATCTCCTTCTTCCAGTGGTGCCAATGACTTGGCTGTACGATCATAGTGTTTTCTTTGCTGTTCTGGCTGTTCTTGACGTGCTGCTTTAAACGTAGTTCGGTTGATGAGCTTTGGATTAAGCTTTCTTTGAGAGGTGGGAATGGTTGATCGAAGTCGTCTGCTCATTAGTGTTTGCGCCGGAGTTACACCGTTAATAGGGGTTTTACGATAATCTAACAACGCAAGGTATGGATCTTCGCCGTTAGCTTTGCATTTCCTTAGAATATTCTTCATTGTTTGGACTGTATTCTCATGTAATCCACCAGACTGTGGATATCTCGGACTTATGGTGTTGTGACAAAAATTAAAGTCTTTTGCACACTGTCTGTATTCTTCCGACGAGTATTGTGGGCCATTGTCGGACACCACAGTTTCTGGGATTCCATGACGACTGAATATGGACTTTGTCTTGTTAATAACTGTTTGTGCTTTCGTGTCTTGAAGTTCAGCCACTTTGGGATACCGGCTATAATAATCAACAACTATTCGATGTGGTTTTCCATTCCAATCAAAAAGGTCTGAGCCAATTTTTTGCCAGGGACGACTGGAAATATCGTGTGGATGGAGTGGCTCTCGTTGATTGGCATTTGCGTAGTACTGACATGTTGAGCAGTTTGACACTAGTTCTTCTATTTGTGCGTTCATACCTGGCCAGAATATGCTCTCTCTAGCCAGTCTCTTGGTCTTCTCAGTGCCTTGATGCGATTGATGCAGTTTCTGGAGAGTATCAGCTTGCAATGTTGGTGGAATCAGGATGTTGTGGCTCTTGTAGATAAGACCATCGTCCGTTGTTAGTTCTTCACGGTATGGATAATAAGGTTTTAACTCCGTTAGTATCAATATCTTATGAAATTAAATGAAGATATGATCTTAGCACTTTGCTGGACAATTTAAGCAATTGTCTCATGAACCTGAAAGATTCAGGTGACTCAACGGGATTCGAACCCATGACTTCTACGGTGCCGGTGCAGTGCTTAGACGAACTGAACTATGAAGTCACACAGTGGAGAGCAGGTCAATTTTGTTGGGCTCATGTTTTCTCGTGAAAGGAATGTCATATGATAGAATGTTATATGCAGTGCGGTGTTTTGAAATTAAATGAAAATAGGATCTTCGCACTTTGCTGGACAGTTTAAGCAATTGTCTTATCAACCTGAAAAATTCAGGTGACTCAAGGAGATTCGAACCCATGACCTCTGCGGTGCCGGTGCAGTGCTCTGACCAACTGAACTATGAATTCACACAGGGGAGAGCAGGTCAATTTTGTTTGGCTCATGTTTTCTCGTGAAAGGAAAGTCATATGAAAGAATGTTATATACAGTGCGGTGTTTTGAAATTTAATTGTCCAGCAAAGTGCGAAGATCATATGAAAGAATGTTATATGCAAAGTGCGGTGTTTTGAAATTAAATTGTCCAGCAAAGTGCGAAGACCATTTCATGGGTTCGAATCCCGTTGAGTCACCTGAATTTTTCAGGTTCATGAGACAGTTGCTTAAACTGTCCAGCAAAGTGAAAGATCATATCTTCATTTAATTTCAAAACACCGCAGTGCATATAACATTCTTTAATATCTTATGAAGCGGCCATCCGTCTTGTATCTGCTGTACCAAGAGTTGCATCGTCTTGTCTTTGCGGATTTCATCTTTGATGGCTTGAAGTTTCCGGTCTGTGACGTAAGACTTTGATGACATCAGATGGATAAATCTTTCTGACGCGATGTCTTCAAATTCTTCATGTACAATCTCGGGAGGAAATGCACGCGAGAGCGCATCAGCTATGTACATTTCGCTTTGTTTCTTGTACACCAAATTGATATCGTAGGATTGCAGCTGCATTAACATTTTCTGGAGTCGACTGGGTGCTTAAGATAGTGGTTTTTGGAATATCATTGCAGGGGTTTATGGTCGCTTTCAACGGTTATGGTTTTACCGTAGACATATTGATGGAAGCGTTTGCAGGCAAAGACGACAGCTAGCAGCTCTTTCTCAATCTGTGCGTAACGTCGTTGTGTGTCATTCATGGCTTTTGATGCGTAGGCTACTGGATCCTGGTCTTGAATTAAAGCAGCTCCAAGGCCATTCTGTGAAGCGTCGACCTGGAGTATCACTGGTTTTGCTACATCGTAATAACGGAGAGTATTAGGATGAGTTAGTAAATGTTGTAGATCTTGAAATGCTTTCTCATGTGTTTCATGCCAGTGGAATTCAATGTTCTTCTTTATAAGTTCTCTCAGTGGAGCGGTGACGTCCGAAACGTTTGGTGCGAACTTGGCGATGAAATTAACCATGCCCAACAATCGTTGGACGTCCTGCTTGTTTTCTGGTTTGGGGTAGTTCTTGATTGCTTCAACCTTACTCTCATCAGGTTTGACAGCATATGCTGTTAGCTTTTCTCCAAGGTATGTTATCTCTGTTTTCCGAAACTGGCACTTGTCCTTGCTTAGTGTAATATTGACGTCTGCTACACGATTGAGAACACGCTCCAGGTTGCGTGTTCCTCCATTGTCAGTCCCCAGATTAGTATATCGTCGATATCTGTTTCGCATCCCGGTAGATGCTGAAACTTCTCGTATACTGTTTTATGGAACACCTCTTGTGCGAACACTACTCCAAAGGGTATTACAGTAAAACAATATCGACCAAATGGCGTATTAAACATCGTCAGGTAAGAGCTCTCCTCGTCAAGAGGCATTTGCCAAAATCCCGAGTTTGCATCCAGTTTGCTGAAGAATTTGGCATTGGTCAAACGGCTGGTAATCTCTTGCTGAGTGGGAAGCTGGTAATGCTCTTTGAGCAAAGCTTTGTTGAGGTCACGTGGATCGATGCAAATACGTAACTTTCCAGAGCGTTTTTCATTAACTACCATCGAGTTAACCCATGCTGTCGGCTCATTCACTTTCTTAATTATTCCTTTGGATTCCATATCTTTTAGCTCGTTGTGGACACGTTCTCTCAGTGCTGACGAGGAGGATGAACGACAGGTGTTGCATTAGGGTAGATCTTGATATGATAAGGATGTGATATGCGTCCTAATCCGTCAAAGCATTTCGAGTATTTCTCAAATATTTGTTCGCTGGAAAGTACTGTCAGTGAACTTACGAGTGTAGCCCCGTTGTTCTGTTTACTGCGCAATTGATATACATTGTGGAATATTACAAGCTTCATACTTTTGCAGTTGGCGCATCCAAGCAATGATTTACCATTTTCAACCACTTGAAACTTGAGTACTTGCATTGTTCCTTTGTGTTGGCATTTTAAATAGCATTTACCTATGACTGGAATGTTGTGGCCTCCGAAAGCAGTCAATTTTGCTGTGCTCAGCTTCAATTTACTAAAACGTTGCCGCTTTGGAATAATAGTTTCATAATCTTTCTTACTCAGATCATTTGTTTCTGCCCCAGAGTCAAGTTTCACTCGGATTGTCTTGTTGTTTAGATATGCATGTTCTTCGTCACTGTCTTTATCATATCTATTCCGTGCGCTGAAGAGTCGCTTTCATAATTGACGTCATGTATCGATTTCTTGGTGTTTTTTGTTTGTGATCGGTAGTACTTAGCAATGTGTCCCAGTTTCTGACAATTGTTACATTTTTCCCATATGCCGGACATGATTTCGGCTCGTGAATTCGACCGCAATTGCCGCATTTTTTTGGAGATCTTCCGTTTTCCGGTTTGTTGTTTTTGCTTTTTTGGTTGCGAGATTTCCCTTTATAACCATGTTTTAGCTGATCATTCCCCAATGTGTGGACATTGGCAGAATTCTGGTCGTTTAGAGATTTCATTTGCTCACGAGATACTTCAGACGCTCGACATATATCTAAAGCTTTCGGCCTTGTTAAATCCGACTCTCGAAGTAAGCGTTCTTTGATAATTTGGTTTCGTATTCCACATACTATTCGATCGCGAATAAGCCCGTCATGAAGTGCTTCAAACTCGAATTGGGCGGCGAGAGTGCGTAGAACAGTCACATACTGGTCGATGCTTTCGTTGTCTTCTTGATTTCGTATGTTGAATTTATGTCTTTCATACGTAATGTTCTTTCTTGGGTTGCAGTAGATTTCAAACGCGGATTTTAACTCCCTCGTTGTTCTCATCCACGTTATTTCTCCCTCAGCATTGGTCCCTGTTTCTGGCGTTGCGAATGTTAAGGTTTTATATACTTCTCTGCCCCTTTCTCCTATGTACAAAAGAAAGTAGGAACATTTTTCCTCTTCAGAGCGTCCTTTAAGTTCGGTCTTCTCGAACAGCGTCCAGTGCTCCTCAAACTTACAAAAGTTTTCGCTGACGTTCCCGTCTAATTTCAGAGGTTTGGGGGCTGCCCATTGAAGGTTCCCAGATTCCATATTAATTGCTTTTTATGGAATCCCACTTCTGACACCATGTAATAACTCTGATAGTTATAGGTCTACATTTATCTCGAATCTCCCAGCTTACACGTTTGTGCTCTACATGTTCTAATAATAATTAAGTTATGCCTAAGTGAATGTCAATCATATATAACATAACGGAAGCTTATACCGCTAATTATGTGCATATATTACATAAGAAGAACAGAGTTTTGATAATCTTGTGCTTGTGCTTCTGTTGCAACTGAAGAGTGAAGCCCAGGCTTATCGTGACAAATGTCAAAAAAGTGATTTCGCCACCATCTATCAATAGATTTATTAGGCCAAAATGGCACCTATACTAATATTTCTTTGATAGAAAGGTGGACATACATATTGCGTGTATATTTCTGATGAATTGCGAGCAGCTTCTACCAACTAGCTCAAACAAACTATAAAATTGGATGATCAACTGCAGGTTAGGGTTGGTGGTAAACAATGTACTTTGCATTCATTGGAGAAAACATCTGCAAATCAGTTTAGCGATGTTTCGTATTGTGCTGGAGTTGATGCAAACATGATTTGAACATGAGATTTGTTTATAGTTTGTTTAAATGTCCATTTAATTGAAGCTGTCTTCACAGTAAATGCTATAGATGAAAAATGAATAAGATTTTTAATTAATAGGAAGGATATATCTTAAAAATAATTTGTCCCATACATGAATTACATTAGAAAAAAGGTACTATTTCTATTCAAATTTGCTTTGATTTGATATTTCTTCAGAGATATCTCTGCTTTAGCATAGTTGCGATGATGTTTTTGGTGCAACACAAAATGGTGCAGCAATATTTTTTTAGAATGCTGTCATAAAGTACAACATAAATTAGATCATCAAAGCCATGTCAACTGTAGATATGCACACATACAAAACATATATGTAAGCTTCAATCTACATTGTTGTTTATAAAAATATTTGATGTTGATGACTGTGGGGGCTGATGGGCTTATGTCCGGACTATGGCGTTCAGCGGGCAGAAAAAAAATAGTATGCCAAATCAAAACAGCTGGAAACCATCGGAAAATGAATCTTGTTCTGGGGCGTCCATTTCTACACCAGCCTCAGTAGCATTTGAAAGTGCTAGGCTGTTCAATCCTCGACATTCAACATTGAGACGAACCGGTGGTAAGAGAAAAGCATCTCAGCGTTCTGGTCGAACATGGACGGCGCAAATGTTCTGCCTGGATAATCGCCAGCAAAAAATATTCCGAATGCAGATGTTAAGCAGATTTTACTGATGAAGTGGCCAACGGTAAGACTTCGGGCTCCCCACAGCTTAACGAAGGTGGTGGGTTTGAGCTTTTGCAGTATCAATTAAACTGTCGACAACTAGCCATGAGTAGCTGCCGTTGGGCTGTAAGACCTGAAAGCCAATATCGGAACGCAGTCGAAAATAAATGCCAGGCCTATTCAAGCAAACCTCTCCACAAAGCCAATTAAGGCGGAAAAGAAAGTTCAAGTGACAGAAACTTGCAATGGGTGCCATCAAGAATTCCCCATGAATCAGTTACGGAGCCATTCTAAACACACGTAAAGCAGGAATATTAGATTCAAGTTTCGACTCCGACTTGAATGGCGACAACTTTTTGCAACAAAATCCTGTTCATAGTGCTACTCCATTATCTCACAAAACTAATGAAGATCCATCCGTCACCATTGCAGCAAATGATGAGCAACACAATGCTGATGAAGTCATTTTAACAGATACTACTTCCTTATTCACTTCAGATAACATTGCCACAGACACACTAGTACAAAATGCCCCTGTGGTTGTGGTAACCGAAAGCAACACTCCTAAAGGTCTTGAAATTCACAGAATTACTGAACCTCAAAGAGCAGTGACTCAAAGTCAAGAAGAAACTGATACCAATTCAATTATTGAGAACATTTTTGAATACTACAAGGAACATGCTATTTCTGCTACTTAAGAAGTTGTGCGTCTAATGCAGTCAAAAATTGTTAGAATGAGAAACCTGGAAATTGAACAAGAGGACCATGTCTAGAGGGTGCAGCAAACTACATTTTAGTCGACCGTTGCAAACATTCTCAGAACAGGTATGGATGAAATTAATGGTATTGAAGATTTGTTTCTTACACTTGATGTCAAGTTTTATGGAGAGGTAATCTCCTATTATGTGTCATTATTCAAATAGATTTTTCTGTAAAAGCATACTGTCAAAAAGATGATACTGGGGAGAAACGATTAATATTTTGCCTTTCAGGGCTGAGTATATTAATGGAAAGCTGCCGCAAATATTGTCGGAGGATGTCATCCATGAAATTTTTGTAAATGAAAATATAAGGGAATGTTTCAAAAATCTTATTAGACGATTAGAGAAACTTGGTATACTTTTGCAATAAAATATATTTCCTTGTGAGTCATTAAAACGAAATTAAGATTCTACGACATATTTTTATCCTAGATGTTTTGCAAAATTTCATCATTGCCGGAGATTT